CTCCTAGGTTGGAGGCCATCGCTTTAAGGTTGGAGGCCATCGCTCCTTGTGGAAATATGTAACCCTAAGGACTGTGTTCCATGTCGAGATAATTCACCACCAGTGAACCAGGTGAGTGTTGATAACCACCTAGGTAATCTTGATTTCCATCCTGATGTCAGGTACCATGCATTCGACGCCATTCGATGCATTTCGTTCCCGGATACAGCCGTATCCTTCGAGCTTTCGTTGCCTCATGGCTCAAGGCCATGCACGGACCATGCACATCATGTGGAAAGAAGAAAAAGGTCCGAGCGTCTTGGAGGGTGGGAGATGGATCCACGTTTTGTTCCTATGTTTGATCTTTGAAGTATATGGGCCCCTAGGATTCCCTTCTTTTTGGGGTCATATGCTTCGCATGGCAGCGTGACCGGTCCCCAAGAGGCCGGAGTGGAGGCCCAACCAGCGGCCAATCAATGCCTGCGAATCTAAGTACTCCATCGTTCAGCAGATCTGCAGTGGATCATTCGACATCTATTCGACTGGAAGGCCAGACCACACGGAACTGACCAAAGGACTTCAGATGATGGGTACTCAATTGCAAACGCTTGCAACCATGGTTGAGAGTCAACAACATGCTTTCCAAAAGACACATGATACGTTCCAGATGCAGCAAGCCATGATTCAAGGTCTTCAAGCCCAGCGTACTGCACTTCCGATTTCACCACGAGGTGGAAATGTACGATCAAGTCCATTTGGTGTTGCCACAGCTGCAGGGATACAAGCCAATGGACAATCACCTTTTGGGACAATGGGCCACTCCACGACCAATCAGACAACAGCTCAGCCTACAGGATCATATCCTTCGAATGTTGCTGCCAGTGGGCCAAAGATTGTACTCCCTGGAGGGATTGAGATCCCACTTGGTGGTGCATCCTCGGCCACAACTGCCGGAACAGGAGGAACTTCAGAGAAGCCAGTTTTAGACGCTTTTCAACGGTCTGACCAATGGCTACCAGAGATGCCGGCTGTTGATTCAAGGAATTGGCGGACACGTACAGAGGAGATTGCGGGCTTTGAGACATTCATGGAGAATTTTTCAGCTTGCTTAGGTCTTGTTTCAGCCGCATTCGCCAGCGAGGTGCGTTTCGCCATGACTTCGGATAGTCCCATCGATTCACCCATGTTGACCGACGACCAGAAAGCCCGCGGTGTTCGATTGCTGAACATGTTGAGGCAGGTTTTTCGTGACACGCCGAAGGCCAGAGTCATCTTGCTTGCTTATAGTGAGTCGTCACACCTTGGAGAGCGCAACCCCCATGAATACCTAGTCAGGTCACGACAGGAAGTGATGCATTTCAGGAATTCCTTGATGGGCCGTACCTTCAAGAACAATAGTGTCACGGAATTGATCAAGCAGATGGAATTTGAAGAAAGCAGGTGCCAAAACCTCTTGAACATGCTTCCAGCCTCGATTTCCAAAGTTGAGCTGGAACTTCAGTCCACTGACCTTGCAATGCTTTTCCTTCTTTCGTTGCCCACGCAGATCCGTGAATACACAACCATGCATAGCAATACTGAGGATTACAAGGATCTCAAGAGTGCAGCATTGAAATACGAGACCTCTCAAAGGCTTTGGACTGAAATTGGAGGTAACACAGCATCACAGTATATGCAGAGCATGTTCGATCCGAACAAACCACCGAAAGGGAAAGGTAAAGGAAAAGGAAAAGAAAGGGGAAAACGATCCATGTCCAGCAGTCCCAACAAAAAGGCTGAGGAGAAGAGCGACCAAGAAAAGAATGCAATTTGTTTTAGATGCAGCAGAAAAGGCCATTTCCAAAGCAATTGCCGTGCCCGCACCGATAAGGACGGCAATCCCCTTAGTTCGAACGAGAAGCCCAAGAATCAGAGTGAACAAGCATCAAAAGGCACCTCAACCACCGATGGAAAGGGAAAGGGCAAAGATGGTAAAGGTAAAGGCAAGGTAAAGGTAAGATTCAGGAGTTCGTGTCAGTCGATTCAGCCGAGCAGCCTGAGTTGGAAGAATTTACTGCTGCAAGCCGAGCGGCATATGCCGATCCCAGAGCTCCTATGAGCCCTTTCGTTGCATCCCAAACATCTTTGTCATCCCCATGTTTGCAGACCATGGCGCAATTCGAGAATTTGTTGAATGCTCAGGACTGCACCTTGGGTTTATGTTCACATTTGTCAGTAGACAGTGATGTGTTTGAAACATGTTTGAAGGACGAGTCTCTCTTTTCACTTGGTGATATGTTGAAACAGCATACTTTTGCATTATATCCAGAAAGACGTCACTGGTTTATGCCGTTTTTGATGCCCGCATCGAGCGATTCTCATCAGGAACATTCGGATGTGTGTTGGTGGTTGATCGATTCAGGAGCAAGTGCCTCTGTTGTGAGCAGTCGATTCCTTAGTCATTACGATGTACTTCACCAGATGAAGCTCCCCACCAACAGGAATGAAGGGTTCTCTTCCGCCTCAGGCGATGTGGTCGTGCCGACGGCCGCTGTTTGCATCCGAGCGCATTTCCGCATGACCTCCATTGAGAATCCCCGGGTAAAAGTGTTGAAGGAGTGTCTCATTGCATCTCATTGCGGCTTTTGTTGCAGATGTTCCCAATAACGTTTTGAGCGTTGGAACATTGTTGAAGAAGGGTGGACACTAGGAAACTCTGGACCAAACATGGAGGTCACCAAGGAAGGACATCGCCTTCAGGTCATCACGTGGCAGAACGTGCCATGGGTGTTCCACGAAGAGTGTGGATCATTCACGAATGACGCTGTCGTTGCGAGATCTCCCGCTGTGTCTAAGACATCTCGAAGGGAGTCGAAGTCCAAAGAGCGAGTAGGTTACATGTTCATTTCGGTGACATTCAAGAGCATTTGTTTGATGGACCACTAAACGTAAGGCAGAGAGTGAACTGTCGCCTGAAACCGTTTATCGGACTCAGCCTCAAGCCGCTCCATCACCCGATAGCCGTACCGCCGTTGGGGTCCCAGAGACTGCCGAGCAGTCAGGAGCCGCTTCGTCGTCTTCAGTTGCTAGGAGGGTTGATGATAGTCAGATTGTAAGTAATGAGCCCAAGCCCAGTCCTGATCAATCAAGACATGTTGATCCGTTCGCGCCGGCCTCAGCACCAGGTCCTTGTTCAGGCCCTCCGGGAGACACGTCTGCGCCTCAAGCTGCAGGGAAGTTCGTCAAAGGCCAATCCATCTGGTGTTGAAGCGTCTGAAGAATCATCATCATCCAAACATCCAATCGTCTTGAAAAAGAACCAACGTGTCCGACAATCATTGGAAGAGCGTCGCGATCAAGGTCATTTCCCGTTCCATGTTCTGCAGCCACGTCCGTGACCCAGAGGCGAAGACGCCATAAAGATAGGGTTTATTCTGAAATTAGGGCCGATTTTTTCTTTCTGGAGACGTGTAAATTTCTCATCCTGGCTGACATGTCAACGGGAATGAAAGGTTTCGTGCCTATCTCTCCGGTCATCAAGACCAATCAGGCTTGGCTTAGGAACTGGCTGAATGAATTTAATCTTCTTGGAGAATCCCGCTTTCCTCTCGAGATCTTGACTGATGCCGAGGAAGGCGTGAGCCAGCTTTTCCTTGGCCTTGACATTGGCCGGGATTACGCTGTCCTCAAGTCTGCGCCTCAAGCCCACCAAACAAATGGACACGCTGAAGGAGCCATTCGCTTTGTCAAAGATGCCATCACCGCACTTCGTCAAGACTTAAGAAATAATGGTGTTGATTTGAACTTATCTGACCGAGATCGAAGAAGCTTGAACGCAGCAATGGCATATGCATGCCATTGTTCGAACCTGCACTCCACATATCTTGACACCAAACGGTCACCAAAAGAGGTTGCACTAGGAAGAAATTTCGTCCTACAGACAGCCATGTTCGGCGCCACAGTTCTTGCCGAGGTGCCGGATAGCCTTCGAGACAGCGCAGTGTCCCGCTTCGAGAAGGCAGCATACATTCGTCCCGAATTCAACTCATTAGGTCACGTATGTTGCTGTGTTTTGGCAGGCACCGAACGAATCTTTGTTGCACGAAGTATCAAAATTCTCACGCCGATAACCTTTGAAGTTCGCCTGGCGCCTACTTTCCTGATGTCATATGACCGCAGTCTTTCTAGAAAGAGTCTAGAGGCTGAACACCAGAAGTTGGACATTGAGAAAGCTGGTGAGGACATTTCTTTGGTTGATCGAGCTTCAACT